CAGCTACGTGAGCTGATTCTCACCCCCCCCTTTGTTATCCTCCCTTTTCGCCCGACCCGAGTTACGGTTAGGGGAACGAAGAATGACAAACACATAAGAACTCGGAGGTCCGCGCGGATTTCTCGGATCGGCGCTGGAACCCCCTGGTGGTGCCTCTGGCGCCGCCCGCGGCGCGCTCCGCGCGCCAGGGAGAATGGTGAGCACCAAGAAACTACTGAAACTGGCACGTTGTTACGTACCAAGCTCTTGGAGACGATACTCGTTCGACATTGTCGCGATATTTCTCTTGGAGCTCGAACTTATTTTTGGGATTCGGTCCTTAAGTACGGTGTGAGCAACATAATGTTTGGGACCCCCTCACTCGCGTCCAGCCCGATCTTCGCGTCGTCGGGGGAGGTTGCGCCGCGAGGCTCCTGGCCAGTTGATATGCCTCTGGAAGGCCTTGGCCAGGCTTCACACAGAGTGAAGAAGCCGGCCCCAGGAGGGGGGACAGGCTAGTTTGAAATCGGGCCGGTCCCTCTACAGGAGGGGAATATTCAAAAATAGTTCAAAAATAGTATGGGGATGATTTTTCGATTAGTTGCTGAGTTTGTTTGAGCATTTTTCTTTTTTGTTTGTCCGTCCAAGTCCCCGTGTAGGAGGACATGTCCGATCTAGTCTAGTTTGGTGCGCTGTTTCTTCTTGGCCCCCACCAGCTGGTGTCACAGCAGACCTCGAACCCTCGGTTCGACCCGATCGTGGTTTCGGCTTGTGCGCGACATGCAAAGGGGGAGCTGTGTGGATGTAGCGGATGACTCGGAGGAAGAGACTGGACAGGGAAGAGGATGAGGAGGACGAGGAGGAACAGCGGCAGCAGGACCCCGCCCTTGGGGAGACGTATCGGTGAAACGATCTGCGCAGGCATGGGCAGAAGACGACCAGCCCCATCCTGGCAGGAGGGCGTTTTTTTTTGGGGGGGGGGGAAGGGCAGCGTGCACTGCTCGGCGGCCGAGCAGCGACGGCCCCTCGCTCTGCCTCGCAGAGCGCGCCCGGTGCCAGAGCTCCGCATCCGGGACGGCGGGCTGGCGGCCCTCGAGGATCCCGTGGGCCCTTCTCTGGCGCGCGCGCCCCGGGGCGGCTCGGCGGGCGCAGCCGCCCCCCTCCTCCTCCTCGCTCCTCCTCGCTCCTCCTCCTCCTCGCTCGCTCCTCCTCCTCGCTCGCTCCTCCTCATCCTCCTCCGCCTCCTCCTCGCTCGCTCCTCCTCCTCCTCCTCCTCCTCCTCCTCCTCCTCCTCCTCCTCCTCCTCCTCGCTCCTCCTCCTCGCTCCTCGCTCCTCCTCCTTGCTCCTCGCTCCTCCTCCTCGCTTCTCGCTCCTCGCTCCTCCTCCTCCTCGTGTGGGGCAGGAGATGATCACCCTCGGCGGGGCGTCGGAGGCGGACATCAGCTTCTACTTTGCGCACTGGCTCACCGACCTCGCCGGGGCCGAGGCCCTCCTCGCCCCCGGGGGGGGGGGGCGATGGGCGCGGGGCCGCGCCCGCCCTCGGGCCTGCTGGCGCGTCTGGGCGAGCGCGTTTCCCAGGTTTTGACGGTCCAGCGTCCGTGGAGGGGAAAGGAGGGGGAGGACGGGGAAAGGGGGAGGAGGAGGAGGAGGGGGGGGAGGAGGGGAAAGGGGAGGAGGAGGAGGAGGAGGAGGAGGAGGAGGAGGAGGAGGAGGAGGAGGAGGAGAGGAGGAGGAGGAGGAGGAGAAGGAGGAGACGGGGGGGAGCGGGAGGAGGAGGAGAGGAAAGGGAGGGAGGAGGGGAAAGGGAGGAGGAGGAGGAGGAGGAGGAGGAGGAGGAGGAGGAGGAGGAGGGGAAAGGGAGGGAGTTCGCGTCACATCTCGTGTTGCGTCTCGTCAGTTTCGTGATGGCCCCGTCGAGCCAACCCGAGTCCCCCGAGGCCCGGGTCTGACGTCTCCCCGATCGTTGGCCGGCTCGGTCGGTCGCCGCCTGCGGTTCTCGACGCGTGTTTCGCTACTCCCCTCCCTCTTTCGCCTTTTCTCCGCCTGCTCCTCATCCTGATCCTTCCCCTCTCTAGTCCATCCCGCCCTCATCATCACCACCGCCGTCATCATCGTCATCGTCGTCATCACCATTAGCAGAATCAACACAGTGGTCGTCTTCATCACCATGATCAGCATCGTGATCAAGGTCGATCATGGTCGTGGTCGTCGTCGCCATCCTCATCCTCCTCATCAGCATCATCGCCACCATCGCCATCACCATCATCAGCATCGTCACAACAGCGTCATCATCATAATCATCATCACCACCACCATTACCATCCTCATCAGCACCATCATCATCATCATCATCATCATCATCATCATCATCATCATCATCATCATCATCATTATCATTATTATTATTATCATCACCACCATCATCGCCTTTGCCATCGCCATCGCCATCGTTACCATGATTAACAGCAGCATAGTCACAATCATCATTATCACCATCACAACTACCACTATCATAATCAGAATCGGTATCACCATCAGTATCATCGTCATCGTCAGCATCATCATAATCATGATCGTCTTCGTGTTCGTCTTGGTCCTCGTCTTCGCCTTCGTCTTCGTCTTCATCATCATCATTACCATCACAATCATTAGCATCATCAGCATCATCAGGCTTCTCGTCACACCTCCTCGCCCTCTCTCCCTCCATCAGTCCTCCTCATTTTTCGCATCATGGGGTCATTCTGGAGGCATTTGGGGCTTTCTTGGGCCCCTCTTGGGGGGCATTGGGTTTGGGGACCTCGATCCACGAGGGTTTGGTTCTCTATATCAGCGCTGCCCCTCGGGAGCCTGAAGCGAAGACAACTGGAGCCATCTCGTGACTCTCGGGGGGGGGGGGAGCTCTTTCTCGCCTCTGACGCCGCCTGGGGGCATTTCTGGTTGCCTCTCTGGGGCTCTCTTGGGCAATCTGGAGCCGTCCTGGGGCTTCAGAAGCTTGTCGGGCGTGCACGGCTCGGCGTGCGTGCTGGAGGGACCCGGGGCCTCTCGGGGGCATCCTGCCGAGGCTCCGAGGCCGTCTTTGCAGCCGTCTTGGGTTCGTCTTTGGTCCATCCTTGGGCAGTCCGGCGCCAATTTATTGGGCTTTGCGGAGTGCACAAGGTTCGCTCCATTCTCCTCCCATCCCCCTCGCGCCCCTCGAACGGCCTTCTTCAGCATTCAGGGGGGGAAACCAGGGGCAGGGGGCGATCAAGCATGTCACGCGCATTCTCACCTCCAGCAAACGGGTGTCCAGCGGATGTTCATCCTCGTCGTCTTCGTCTTCTTCGTCATCGTCATTTTTGTTCGTCGTCTTTGTCGTCTTCCATCGAATGTTCTTCACACCCTGTTTCATTATCATCCGTATCCTCCGTGTAGTATTTCTCCTCTTCACCTTCCACATCCTCCTCCTCTTCCTCTTTCTCTTCCTCCCCCTTCCCCCTCCTCTTCGTCCTCCTCTCTGTGTTACCACTCCCTCCGTTTTCTTCTGCACCAGCATTTCCTTTCCTTTTTCTGTTCCTCCGCCTCACATCCTCATGTGTTCCGATCTCTATGTGTATATACATATCTATTTGTACATATATACATATATATATACATACATACATGTATGTATATATATGTAGATATATGATCCCGGAGAAACGCGCACATCAAAGTCTTTTTCCCAACCCTCCTGCGTTGGGTTCTCGTTTTGAATAGAGCACTGCTCGCGCGAACCTTCCTTCCTTCCTTCCTTCCCGTCTCTCTTCTCTTCCCCCGTGCCTTTTACCTCGCCATCCCTGGGGGGCTGCGATCTGTGAAACTGTCGCCACTTTCGAGGCCTGCTGGGGGGCCCAGCACAGTGGGTACCCACCGCGGACTCAAATTAGACCTCGCCATCCCTGGGGGGCTGCGATCTGTGAAACTGTCGCCACTTTCGAGGCCTGCTGGGGGGCCCAGCACAGTGGACCCACGGCGGACTCAAATTAGACCTCGCCATCCCTGGGGGGCTGCGATCTGTGAAACTGTCGCCACTTTCGAGGCCTGCTGGGGGGCCCAGCACAGTGGGTACCACCGCGGACTCAAATTAGACCTCGCCATCCCTGGGGGGCTGCGATCTGTGAAACTGTCGCCACTTTCGAGGCCTGCTGGGGGGCCCAGCACAGTGGGTACCCACCGCGGACTCAAATTAGACCTCGCCATCCCTGGGGGGCTGCGATCTGTGAAACTGTCGCCACTTTCGAGGCCCGCTGGGGGGCCCAGCACAGTGGGTACCCACAGCGGACTCAAATTAGACCTCGCCATCCCTGGGGGGCTGCGATCTGTGAAACGGTCGCCACTTTCGAGGCCTGCTGGGGGGCCCAGCACAGTGGGCACTCACCGCGGACTCAAATTAGACCTCGCCATCCCTGGGGGGCTGCGATCTGTGAAACCGTCGCCAGTTTCGAGGCCTGCTGGGGGGCCCAGCACATTGGGTACCCACCGCGGACTCAAATTAGACCTCGCCATCCCTGGGGGGCTGCGATCTGTGAAACTGTCGCCACGTTCGAGGCCTGCTGGGGGGCACAGCACAGTGGGTACTCACCGCAGACTCAAATTAGACCTCGCCATCCCTGGGGGGCTGCGATCTGTGAAACTGTCACCACTTTCGAGATCTGCTGGGGGGCCCAGCACAATCGGTACCCACCGCAGACTCAAATTAGACATCGCCATCCCTGGGGGGCTGCGATCTGTGAAACGGTCGCCACTTTCGATGGCTGCTGAGGGGCACAGCACAGTGGGTACCCACCGCGGACTCAAATTAGACGCCGCTTTCGTTATTGTTCTCGTCCTGCAGTCACCTTCCCTCTGCTGCTGCCGTACTGATGGTTCGGCTTCCCGCGCGTTTTTCTCCTGCTCTGCATTCCCGACTCCCCATGTCCTCTTCGAGCCTGTAGTTGTCGTCCCTCGTTCTTGTATGGTTATCCTGCGCATCATGCCATAGGCGCGTGTCCCAAGTAGCTTATACATCGAGTTGATTGTCCATGTAAGTTTCGGCCAACTCCTCGTTTTCATTGATACAAATGGGTTGGGTACGTCGCAGGGTAATTATGACTATAGGGCTATGTGGCTGGAGGGCTATGAGGCTATGGAACTATAGGGCTATAGGGCCATAGGCCATGGGGCTATAGGGCTACAGGGCGATGGGGCCATAGGGCTATAGGTGTGTAGGGCTATAGGGCTTTGGGGCTATGGGGTTCTGGGGCTGTTGGGCTATAGGGCTATATGGCTATAGAACGCACCTTGGGCGGGGTCCGCGGAGTTGGGGTATCGGTATCGGTGGGTTTCCCCGGCCTTGTGATTCGGTGCGATCCACATGGGCAATTACGGGAAGAACGGACACGAGAAGACCAACATTGTGTTCTATCCAGTTTGAGCAGGACTCGGTGTCAGCGTCGCTGCGGGCACTGTCCGTTCGAGGCAAGAGCGCGTGCCTGACAATGGCCGCTGGTTTTTCTGTGGCATCGTGTCCATTTTTTCCATACCCATCGAGGGCATGCTCAGAGAGCGACGACAGGAAACGGGTCGATTGTGCGGCGATTCGCGCATACGTTCCACGCGTACGGTGGTGCATGAGCGCCCTCTTCTCCACGTGGTGTGCCACGCTGGCGGCCCGCGAACGCCGCGGCGTCAGGTCGCCGTGCTTTCTTGCCTAAGACAAACTTCTTCTCGTCGCTCAAAGTGACGGGCTGGCGGTAGGCTTCAGTCGGGCCTGTCCCTCCACAGGAGGAATACCCAAATTGTTAGAGGCTATTGTGTGTGGGTATAGTCAGGGGACAATTGTTTTAGGCTATGTGTGTGTGTTTGTTTGCGTTTTGTTCTGTTTGTGTGTTGTGGTGTTGTGACCTCGTTTTGAAGAGACGGTGCTCCCCGTTCCTTCCTTCCTCCGCATGGCACCGCCGCCTCATTTCTGCCCACCCCTCGCCCGGTTCGTGGACCTACAGGGATCTCTACCGAAGGCCCCAGCGAGAGAATCCGCATGGCACCGCCGCCCCATTTCGGCACACCCCTCACACGCTTCGTGGCCCCATTGGGAGCTCAACCGAGGTCCGAGCGGGAGGGTCCGCATGGCACCGCCGCCTCATTTCGACACACCCCTCACGCTTCGTGGTCCCATGGGGAGCTCCACCAAAGGCCCCAGCGGAAGGGTCCGCATGGCACCGCTGCCCCATTTCGGCACACCCTTCACACGTTTCGTGGCTCCAAAAGGAGTTCCACCGAAGGCTTCCGTGGAGGGATCCGCATGGCACCACCGCCCAATTTCGGCACACCTCTCACACGCTTCGTGGTCCCATAGGGAGCTCTACGGAAGGCCCCAGCGGGAGGGTCCGCATGGCACCGCCGCCCCATTTCGGCCCACCCCTCGCCCGCTTCGTGGCCCCAACGGAAGCTCCACCGAAGGCCCTTGTGGCAAAGTTCGCATGCGTCCCCCTACACCGGTTGTACTCACATAAGCATTCGATTGGGTCCTTCGCCAGGAAAATGTTGTATTCGTATATATATATAGAGATATATGCATATATACATATACTAAATGTATATATGTATACTATATATATTTATATATTCATCTATACATATACATACAATCGTACAGCATCCCCCTGTAGGACGGCATTCCCGACCTAACGGTAGGCGTCTGGGGAAGCCAGGGACGTTTGCCCGGGTCAGGATGCAGGGTCTCGGAGGTTCTGCCTCGACATGTCCATTTTCGAAAACGTGCCCCCTTCCTCCTCCTCCGCCTCCTCCTTCTCCTCTTTTTCCTCCTCCTCCCTCTCCTCCTCTTCCTCCTCCTCCTCCTCCGCCTCTTCCTCCTCCTTCCATCTCCCTCTTCCCTCCTCCTCCTCCTCTTCCTCCTCCTCCGCCTCTTCCTCCTCCTCGCTGCTTCCTCCCTCCTCCTCTTCCTCCTCCTCCCCTCCTCCTCCTCCTCCTCCTCCTCCTCCTCCCTCCTCCTCCTCCCCCCCCACCTCCCCTCCACCTCCTCCCCTCCCTCTCCTCCGCCTCCTCCTCCTCCTCCTCCTCTTCCTTCTCCTCCTCCACCTCATCCAATTTTTCCTCCTCCTCGCTCCTCCTCCTCCCCTCCTCCTCCTCCTCCTCCTCCTTCCTCCTCCTCCTCCTCCTCCTCCTCCCTCCCTCCTCCTCCCTCCTCCTCCTCCTCCCTCCTCCTCTCCTCCTCCTCCTCCTCCTCTTCCTCCTCCTTCCATCTCCCCTTCCTCCTCCTCCTCCTCCTCCTCCTCCTCCTCCTCCTCCTCCTCCGCCTCCTCTTCCTCCTCCTTCTATCTCCCTCCTCCCTCCACCTCCTCCTCCTCCTCCTCCTCCTCCTCCTCCTCCACCTCCGCCTCTTCCTTCTCCTCCCTGCTTCCACCCGCCTCCTCCTCTCCCGCCTCCTCCTCCTCTCCTCCTCCTCCTCCTCCTCCCCTCCTCCTCCTCCTCCTCCTCCCTCCTCCTCCTCCTCCTCCCCTCCCTCCCTCTCCTCTGCCTCCTCATCCTCTTCCTTCTCCTCCAACTCCTCAGCCTCCTCCCCTCCTTCCTCCTCCTCCCTCCTCCTCCTCCTCCTCTCCTCCTCCTCCTCCTCCTCCTCCTCCTCCTCCTCCTCCTCCTCGTCTTTCTCCTCCTCTCCTCCTCCTCTCCTCCTCCTCCTCTTCCTCCTCCTCCTCCTCCTCCTCTCCTCCTCCCCCTCCTCCTCCTCCTCCTCCTCCTCCTCCTCCTCCCCCCTCCTCCTCCTCCTTTTCCTCCTCCCCCCCCCTCCTCCTCCCTCCTCCTCCTCTCCGCCCTCTTCCCTCCTCCCTCCTCCCCCTCCTTCTCCTCGTCCTCCTCCTTCTCCTCCTCCTCCCCCGCCTTCTCCTCCTCGTCCTCCTCCTCCTACTCTTCGTCATCCTCCTGCTCCTCCTACTCCCCCTCAGAATCGGGCCCAACCTCTCTCGCTCCATCAGTTCTAATCCGGCCTCACGGCCCCTGAATCGGGCCAGTCAACCGGACCCTGATCGTGTTCACACGAGAGCCTCCCAGGAGTTCTTCCTGATCCAAGCTCCAGCCCCTGGAGCGGTTCTTCCACGCCACGGCCAGACTTTTCCAGCACGCGCTCCAGCGGGTGGCCAGTTGGGGAGAGGTGCGCCTAGAGCTACCATGTCGGCGTCTTGGCGCCTCAGGGTCCTCAGCGGCCCGTTTTGCCCGAATCGTCCTCCGTTCCCTTTCTCCTCCTCGTCTTTCACAGCATCCCCCTGTGATCCCTCCTTCTCTTTCCTCTCCTCCTCCTTCTCCTCCTCCTCCTCCTCCTTCTTCTTGCCCCTCTCATCCTCCCGTTCTGTCTCCCCCCTTGTGCTAACGCGCTGGCCGAGGCGTTTGGATTGAGGCCCTGGCCTGGATCCGAGAAGTTCGTCCTCAAGTTCCCCATGGAGGCGTTGCATACGAACGGGGGCGATTAGGAGGAGGAGGAGGAGGAGGAGGATGCACGGAGGAGAAGGACGAGTAGGATGTGGAGGAGGAGGAGGAGGAAGAGGAAAAAGAGGAGGAAGAGGAGGATGAGGAGGAGGAGGAGGAGGACGAGGAGATAGGATGGATCAAGGACGACGACGAGGGTACCAATGATCAGCATGAACATATGGAATGAACAGCATCAGGAGTGGGAGGAGTCTGCAGATAAGCAGCAGGAGGGCTGTACGTTCCAAGTCTTGGGCCGTTGCAATGCTTTTGGAGAGCGGGAGAGTGAAGGAGAGATAGAAAGAAAGAGAGAGAGAGAGAGAGAGAGAGCTAGAGATCGAGTCGGGGGCACGCCCCGAATGCCAACACAGATGAGTAAGGCCAGGATTGGGAACAGTTCAGAGCCAGATTTTGCATCATCGGGCGAGCGATGAGGGGTGGCAGCGGCGGCGGTAAGGTCACGATTTGAGCTGGCGCCGTGTTGGAATTTGGTGCCCCTACAGTGGGGGCCTATGCCAAGAAACACCCTGCTTGCCTCCAGGGTGCCCTGGGTTTCTTGGGTTTCGATGGTTCTGCTATGCGGCGCGTGACGCTCCCATACCGAAAATTAGTGGACCTCCTGGGGTCCCAGGGTTGGGCTTCTTGCGGGTGGCTTCTTGTGGTCTGGCCTCCACTGCAGCCGTTCCACAACGGCCCCACAGTGCAAATCGGCGGGACGGGGGAGCGGGGCGGCCCCGGCAGCAGGAGGAGGAGGAGGAGGAGGAGGAGGAGGAGGAGGAGGAGGAGGGGGAGGAGGGGGAGGAGGAGGAGGAGGGGGAGGAGGAGAAGGAGGCGGCAACGAGGCGGCAACCCTGCCGGGCCCACCCCGGCGCGCTTTTGGCGCCCAGCGGCAACGAGGCGGCAACGGGGCGGCAGCGGGGCGGAGCGCCGCCAGAACCACCCATCGAGCAGTGGCGAAGCGTCCCGGCTCGCCCATAGCCCTACCAAGCAATGGTCTAAGAACCTTTTGTGGTGTCCACAAGATGTTCTTCGAACATTTCTGGCGGAGTCTGTCTTGTTTTATCACATCGGGTTCATTCTCTAAGGACATTGTTTTCGTTATTCGAACATTTTTTTGGTTCTAAGAGCAGTTCGTCGTAGGACTACAAGAATGCCGGGACGGCCGGGCCCTGCTCAAACCCAGCGCACGAGCGGGGCAGCGGCATGGCGGCCGGCAGTGAGGCGGCAAGCGGCGGCACTCAACGCAGCGAGGCCCCGCCAGACCCACGCGTCGCACGAGGCGTCCGCGGTATTTCTGGAGGTCTAGGAAAGGGGTATGGTATAAAAGGGGTGCGTGTGGTGTTGCTGTTATGTGCAGGGGGCTCTGGCGATGTGATCTATCGCAGATCGCATCGCTAGTTCCACAAGTGGCACCATACCCCTTTATGCCACACCCCGTGCCGACCTCCAGAGTAGCACCGGGCGGAAACGTGACGCAACCTCGCCGGGGGCAACCAGCGCACGAGGCGGCAACGAGGCGACAGCGGGCGGCAGTGTGGCGAAGCCCTGCCAGGCGCCTCCGGGTCCCGAGCACAGCCCGAGCAAGCAGCCCCGAGGGCCAGCACCGATCGTGGAGCAGGTGCCGCCGATCCTCCCCACGAGGTGCTCCTTGCCTTCCTGGACTCCTTCACCTACGTGGACAACCTCGTGGAGAACTCGGAGGTCCAGGTCATGGAGGAGCACCGCCGAGCCCCCCCCCAGATCTGCGGAAGACCCTCCCGGACATCCGACGCCGTGATTCGTTCGAAGCTTAGGCCCCCAGAGGTCTGGACCCCTTCCCTCGAAGAAACAAGAATTGCATCCACACGAACTTTTGGCGCTCCGTTCAAGAAATCGGCGCCGAGCGCCAAAACTTTACATTTATGCAGTGTGTTCTTCTTCTATTCCTTGGGACTTGTTTTTGTTCATGGCCCTGGGTCCCGGTCAGGGCCCCCAGAGGCCGAGGATGGCCCAACATTGTTCGTAGTGTTTTTTGAATGGCGCGAACAGGTCGGGTTTCGTCGGCATCCTCTCGTGCTCTTCCTTCTTCGCCTCCTGGGCGTCGTCGCAGGTTTGGTTCGCAGTGCCTTCGGGGATGGGCCGGAGGTTAGGTTGGGGCTGCGGCTGGAGCAGGGGCTCGGGCTTGACCTGGAGATGAGGCTGGAGCTCGGATTGGAGCGAAGCTTGAGCTGGGGCTGGAGCTTGGGCGAAGCTTGAGCTGGAGCTTGAGATCTTGAAGGGCACCACGTGCTGGAGGGTTGGCTCCGGGCACTCAGCATCAGGTCTGGGAGTAGTTTTCTGGCAATACGGAAATCATTGAACGCCAGAGGATTGGTTCGGGACGTGCAACATACGGTATGAGAGTGGAGATGGGACGGGACATAAAACACCGCACGCCGGAGAATTGGCCCCAGATGATCAACATCAGTTCCGGCATCTGCAACGCGAAGAGCCAGCTGGCTGAAAGGGCTGGTTCCAGGTGAGATTAGATCCAGATTTTTTCAGAGGCCCGAGTCATCAGGGCTGGGAGCTGTCAGTGTCAACTGCAGACTCGCGCCTCGGGGGCCAGAACCCGAGCTGCCCCGGACCGCAGTTATCCTGGATATCTCGGGCGTCCAACCCTCCAGAATCATGGGGACAGCCAGTGGTGACTACAGATGCGCGCCCCGGGGGCCCACCCCGGATCTACCCTCGACGGCAGTTGTCCCGGATAATCTGGGCATCCGCTATTGAGCGCCCGCAACGCGATTGACTCGTTGGCTGCCGAAGAGCCGGCCAGCTGCAGAGGTTGCATATGGACGATCAAACAAAGGCCTTGGAATGGAGGTCAGGCGGCACAACGTTGCGACCACGGGCTGCTCCCAAGGTCGTGCCGGCGCCGGGAAGGAGGTCGTGGCAGCCAGACGGTCGGGCCAGTGGTGAAGGCCGACCTGGATGACCCAAGCCAGGCGCCACGGAGATCTTGTGTGGTTGTAAGGGTTGTCCCAGGGTGACTGCAATCATGCTCAGGAGCGGAGTTCTTCCACCAACAGAAATTTTGCCCCCCACCTCGACCCTACCTTATCAAGCAGTGAGAACCTTTCAGGACAAGCCTAGGCGATTCCAACTGTGGAAACGATCGACAAACGCAGACGGCAGATTCCCCAAACAGTGCTGGCACCAAGGGCCTCCTCCTTGTGGTCTAGGGAGTTGGTCCTGCGGGTCGGTCCAACGCCTATGTAGGCGCCGTCGCCGCCCCATGCCGCCTCGTCGAGGCCCGTCGTCTGGTCCTGCCTGGCGCTCTGGCCGCCATGTCGCCGCCGTCGTCGCCCCGTCGCCGCCCGTCGCCTGGGCCTGCGCGCCGCTCTGACCGTCATGCCACCAGCGTCGCCGCCTCGTCGCCGCCCGTCGATCCGTCGCCGGCCACCTCGCATTGCCTCGCATTGTTTTGATTTGCATTGCTTTTCTTTGTTCTGCATTGCTTTGCTCTGCAGTTCATGATATTGCGTTGTGCTGGTTTACATCACGCAGCATTGCGTTGCATTGCTTTGCGTGACTTCGCATTGCGTTGCACTTCGGTTCTGCATTGCGTTGCATTGATTTGCATAGCCTTGGATTGCTGTTCTCTCTGAGTTGATTGTCATTGCGATGCATCGCTTTGCATTGTATGTGTATAGATATATATAGGCCCCCTAAACCGTGCTTGCACTTACACCGCACTCACATCTATACCCCTGGGTGGGTGTATGTGCGGCCGTTTTTGCGCTGTCATGTGCGCGCATGTGCGCGGCATGTGCCAGTCATGTGCCAGGCCTGTGCGGCCCTTCTTGGATGGACTTCCTACTGTGCACGTCGTGCCCGGGCATGTGCGGGGGCATGTGCGCTGTGTTTTGATGTATCCATCATACGCACATGCACGCACAGTCCGACGCACATGCGCGCACATGCCTGCACATGCGGGAGGTGTTCGAGAATCGCAGATCTGTCATCGGCACATGCACGCACATGCCTGTGCAACCTCTCTTCGGGAGGCCGCGCGGGCCCGCACATGCACGCACATGCGGTGAAGCGCGCGGGCGCACATGCGTGCACATCCCAATGCACATGCACGCTCATGCCCTAGGAACTGTCTGGGACCCCTGTGCCTCCAATGCCTCCTGGCCCCCCTGCAAGTGGCTTGACGGCCCGAGCTCAGGGAATCTCGGAATCGCTAGCCTGGCTCGGCCACTGGCGAGCTCGGCCTGTGCGAATACTGTGCGTACCTGTGCGGGGCATGTGCGGGACGTGCAAGAATGCCGGGGCCAGCGTTCGTCTCCGGGCGCCGGCGCGTTCGCGTCCGGCCGGTTCCGAGTGAGACGTCGTCGGCAATCTGGAGGCCGACATGCTTTGACATGAGGTGATCTGGCCACCTTCGCCTGAGACATCCTCGCAACTCTGGTCTCGGAGATGCCCTGCCCCATGGTGGCCCAGCCACTTTCGCTTGAGACATCCTCGGAACTCTGGGTTTCGAGACGCCCTGAGCTGAGGTGGTTAGACCACTTTCGCCTGAGACATCCTCGCAACTCTGACCTCAGAGATCTCCTGCCCCATGCTGGTCAGGCCACTGTCGCCTGAGACATCCTCGCAAGTCTCGATTCCGATATGCCCCGAGCTGAGGTGGTCAGCCACTGTCGCCTGAGACATCCTCGCAACCCTGATCTCAATGATGCCCTGCTCGATAGTGTCTCGGCCCCTTTCGCCTGAGACATCCTCGGAACTCTGGGTTCCGAGACGCCCTGAGCTGAGGTGGTTAGACCACTTTCGCTTTAGACATCCTCGCCCGAGATGCCCTGAGTTGAGGTGTTCAGGCCATTTTTTTGCCTGAGACATCCTCGCAACTCTGACCTCAATGATGCCCTGCTCCATAGTGTCTCGGCCTTTTTCGCCTGAGACCCTCGCAACTCTGGGTTCCGAGATGCCCTGCCCCATGGTGGTCCGGCCACGCTTGCCTGAGACATCCTCGCAACTCTGGGTTGCGAAATGCCCCGAGCTCAGGTGGTCATGCCACTATCGCCTGCGACATCTCTGCGGCATGTGCGGGCATGTGCGTCCATGCTTTCAGAGTTTTGCTTGACCGTGCATTCAACTGTGCGTCGGACGGTGTGGCATGTGCGCGCATGTGCGGCAATGCTGTTGAGGCTTTTGCATATTTGCATGGACATGTGCATGCGACTGTGCGGCATGTGCCTGCATGTGCGGCCCCTTCCGGACCACAATTTCAAAGTGAGCACTATAGAAGTGAGCGCTATAGAAGTGAGTCCGGTGTAAGGTGTCTTGTTTCTTTTTCTAAGAAGTTGGGCCTGGTTGTCGTTCCAGCTAGCTTGTTGCCGCCCGTCGCCGCCGTCCTTGATAACGGTTCTGAATGTGCGAGGCTGAGAGGGTCGCACCTTGCATTGTGTTGCATGTATTTGCAGTGCGTTCAGTTTTCTGATTTATGCTCACATCGTATTGGGTTGCGTTCCGTTGCTTCGCATTGCGTTGCATAGTTTGTTTTGTTTTGAATTGCCTTCCGTTGCCTTCAGTTCCATTGCGTTGCGTGACCTTGGTTTGCATTACATGAATGTGCATTGCTTTGCATTGCGTTGCATTGCGTTGTATTGCTTAGCATTGTTTTGTTCCGAATTGATCTGCATCGTATTGCAATGCTTTACATTGCTACGCATTGTTGTGCATTGATTTGTATCGCGTTGTATTTCTTTTGTGTCGCGTTGCATTGCTTATACAGTTTAGTGTCGCATGCGGTTGCTTTGCACTGCATTGCACTGATGTGCATTGTGCTGCATTGCCTTGCATGGCTGCTTATTGCGTTGCGTTGCGTTGCACCGCAAGGTGTTGGTTTGAATTGCGCTGCACTGCTGTGAATTAATTCGCTTTGGTTTGCACTCGCATTGCATTGCTTGTGTTGCATTCCCTGGTACTGCGGAACTTTGTCGTGTCTAGCTCTGCACCACATAGGCCGCGTCACGCGTATTGCGCACCACGTTGATTGCATCGCCTAGATTGGACCGCAAGTATGGTCGGACATCGCTGCTGGGGGGACCCACGCTGGCTGACATCTTCACGCACCTAAGAAGATGAACGTGCTCAACCCTGGCAGCACGCGCACAACCACGCACACACAGTGTTTGGCGCCGTGGGCCCGCGCGTAGAAGCTCGAGCCGGCGAAGAGAGGCAGAGAGCGCGCACACATTCACGCACACAGACACAGCCACAGCCACAGACACACACACACACACGCACTTGTTTGATTCGCGGGTCGAGAGCGCATCTCTTCAGGTCGAAGCTGAGCGGGCCGCGCGAAGCTTGAGTTACGCAGAGAAGGGGGACACACACACACGCACACGCACACGCGCGTTTTTTGGCGTCGCGGCCACGCCCGCGGCGGCGCAGCGGAGTCGTAGTCGTTTTCGGCGTCGCGGTCCGGCTCTCGCAGCGGGGAGCTGCTGGGCCCGCCCAGGGGAGACCACGCGGCACTCCTCGCGGAGGGGGGCAGTCGCGAGGGGGGGGGCGAGGTGGCAAGGACGAACAGGGAGCTACCAGGGGGCGGGGGAGCGGCCTCGCGGGCCAGTGGGCCACGGAGGGCAGTCGCAGACAGAGCGAGTGACCAGACCGCGAACGTCGGCAAGCAGAGCGCAGCGGCGGACGAACGGCACGGGCGAGGCACGCACACACGCAACCTGGTTCGGCTCCGTGGCACGAGCGCCCCCCTTCGTGGGGGGGGGGCATGCTCATCCGGCCCCCAAGCCCAGCGGCAGCGCTGATCGGCGGCAGCCCGACCCCAAGAGGGACGGACAGGGGACCGACCACGACGACGACCACGACGACGACCCCGACGACGACCACGACGACGACGTCGACGATGGCCCCCAAGCCCTTTTGACAGTGCAGTTCACGATGCTGGCGGCTGTGGGGGCAGTGGTGATGACGATGCCAGCCTGCGCGACGACAGTAGTTGTGATCTTGATGATGACGTTTGTGGTGCATCATTTGATGACGGTGGTTGCCATGCTTCAACATGGTGTCGGTAATGGCAGATAGGTGCATCCACAAGCGCTTTGGAGAAACACACTAAACATTGTAAACGAGTGTAGGCCTTAAACAGTGAGTTCACGCAGTATGAAGTTGGCAGATGTACTTTGTAACGTGCGTGGCGGAGTTGAAGGCTTTGCGGTGGAAGTTATGTCGAGCAGTGTTGCCAATCGAAGTGTTGCGGTGTTGGCAGGGCGTGGACGCCATGCGGTTTTAGCTGTTTGGAGTGAACGGTACGATGTGCAAACTATGCGGTGCACGCTATGGTTTCGAAGTAGGTCGCGCAAGTTATGTGGCATCAGCTGTTGGGTCCAAGGTCAGCGCACGGGGCGCCCGCGAGGCGGCACAGGCGGCAACGTGGTGCCACCTCGTCAAGCCCCCCATCGCACGGAGACGCCCACGAACGTCCACGAGGCCGCACGGGCGGCAACGTGGTGCCACCTCGTCAAACCCCCCAACGCACGGAAACGCCCACGAACGCCCAGGAGGCGGCACGGGTGGCAGCATGGCGCCACTTCGTCAACACCCCCCCAGCGCGCGGGAGCGCCCACGAACGCACACGAGGTGGCACGGGCGGCAACGTTGCGCCTTTTCGTCAACCCCCCCCCAGCGCTCGGGAGCGCCCACGAGCGCCCACGAGGCGGATTGGGCGGCAATGTGGAGCAATGTCGGGGAAGTCTCTCAGCGCACAGCGGCGCCCACGAGGCGGCACGGACGGCAACGTGGCATAACCTCGGCAAGCCCCCCAACGCACAGGGAACACACGAGCGCCCACGAGGCGGCACGGACGGCACAGTGGCCCAACCTCGGCAAGCCTCTTTCAGCGCACAGGAACGCCCGCGAGGCGGCACGGGCGGCAACGTGGCGCAAGTGCGGCATACCCAAACCAATGACGCATTGTTGTTGGTTAAAAAAAAAAAATCATGATTTCTGAAGGGCGCGGTTTGCCTGGGGCAGTAGCCTTCCTTCCATTTCGAAGTATGTAACCCGCCGCAGTTGCGGGTACAGGTGACGGTGCGGGCATGGGGTGGGTCGCGGGTGGGTTGCGGGTGGGTCGCGGGTGGGTCGCGGGTGGGTCGCGGGTGGGTCGCGGGTGGGTCGCGGGTGGGGTCGCGGAATGGTCGTGGGGTGTGTCGCGGGATGGTCGCGGGGTGGTCGCCGGTAGATCGCGGGGTGGGTCGCGGATGGAGCGCGGGTGGGTCGCGCGTGGGTCGCGGGCGGGACGACGACAACAAACAACAAACAATAACCAACAACCAACAATCACCAACAATAACAACACTAATTATATAATTTTTGTTTTCTCTTGCATTCCGTATACCCCAACCCTCGGTACCCGCCCACTTCGTCTTCGAGTGCACCCCCTTTCGGGATAAATTCTTCTTTGCGAAGGAGTCTCGAGCGAGAGCGCCGTTCCTGAGTTCGGGGATCTCTCTGGCCAGGGGCTCTCGGAATACCGATGGGGAAATATCGAACGGGAGTCCTTGTCGCTGTGTCGGGGCCTTCACCAATTTGCCTGAATGATGGGAAAATCTCGGGCGAGAGCGCCGCTCTTGAGTTCGGGGGCCTTGCTGGCCAGGGGCTCTCGGAGTAAATCATGAAGGAGTATCGAGCAGGAACCCTTGCCGAAGTGGCTGGGTCCCCGCCAACGTAATTGAATTGCGAGCAAGTCTCGAGCGAGAGCGCCGTTCCTGAGTTCGGGGGCCTCTCTGACCAGGGTGTCTCGGGGTTAGTTGTGAGGGGGTATCGAGCGGGAGCCGTTGTTGTCGTAGCTGGGCCTCCAAGGGCCCACATGTAGGCTCAAGCCATTGCTCGAGCGGGAGCCTCGTTTTCAGAGAAAATGGAGCCGGCGTCGAGGCGAGAGCGCGCAGAACCGTTTCCGGAGATCAACAACGATTCAACAACAGTAACATCAACGATAACAACAACAGCAACAACAACATCAAGAATCCGCTCCGCGAAAGCTCAGTTCAACCACGTACCCAGGGACAGCGAATGACCGTTCGCCCCCCTCACTCTGATTACCACCCATGGCAAAGCGTTCGATTCGAATCGCAAGCTTGCAATGCAATGTTGGTTGAGGGTGGACGAGCACGCCCTAGAGGCTGAGGCTCAGGCATCGAAATCCCTCGTCGCCGTTCTCCCAGTTTCCCTCGACCAAGTTACTCCGTGGGACCATCGAGTGAACCCAGTAGAAACAGCGGAAACCTTATCGAGCAATCCAAAACCCTCGTCGCCTCCTACTTCCGCTTGCTGCTCCTCTTCCATTCCCACCTCCATGGGATGATTGAGTGAACGTTCGTAGAACAATCGGAACTCCTGTGCTGTCGGTCCTTGTCGTGTCGCCGCGGCTGCGACCCGGGCGCAGACGTTCAAGGTTGAACGCCGTCGATTGCCCGGAATCGGCCAGTATGGGTTCATCTGGCGGTCGAAGTGCCGCCGATCGTAGACGGTTGAACGATCCACTCGGTGTCACCCACCAACGCTTGGGTTGTCACCAGATGAACCTGCCGCAGAAGCAGCACGAGCTTGCCGATCTCCGCCGATCCGACTTCTCCCGACTCGGCTGCCGATTGCCGCCGATCCGATTCGTTTCGATCGCCGACCCGCCGCATCGATTCAATTCTAGGGTTCAAGTCGGGCCTGTCGCTCTACAGGGGGGAGTTTTCCAAAACAGTCAAAAAGTAGTCAGGGGACTTTTTTTTCAGTATGGTTGGGCATGTTTTGAGTATCTTTCGTCCAAAATTTGAGTCTATTTTAGCGTCTTGTTTTTCGTCCAATTTTTCTTTCGTCCAAATGTTTCGTCCAATCGTTTGGCATCTTTTCAGTATTCTTGAGTCTTTTTAATGTCTCGTCCAAAATCGGCCTGTAGGGGGACAGGCCCGACCTAACTCTGGGGTCTCCTGCCCTCCGCTCCCGGAGGAGTACCTCAGGGACCGGTGGCATACGCTGGGCCCGCCGGCAAAGGCCCTCGCCCGCCGAGGGGGGGGGGGCAGGCGCGGCGGCAGGCTCACGGCACGGCGGCGGCGGCAACTGCGAGGAGGAGGAGGAGGAGGAGGAGGGCAGGGCACAGGAGGAGTGGACAGTGCCCCACCCCCCTTGGGTGGACAGTGTCCTCGAGTCAAGGCAAGGGGCCCCCTGCTTCGTGCGGCCGCCTGACAGGAGCAGATAGGGAGGAAGGAAAGGAGAGTACATAATCTACATGTATGTATGTATATATGTATACATACATCTGTGGAGGAGGAGGAGGAGGAGCAGGAGGAGGAGGAAGCGGGGGGGGACGCAGGAAGAGGAGGAGGAGGAGGAGGAGGAGGAGGAGGAGGAGGAGGAGGAGGAGGAGTAGGGAGGGGGTCAGAGTACGCGGAGGAGGGGATGGGGGGTTGGGGGGTTGGGGAGTAGGACCCACCCGCGAAGGTCGTGCCAGAGGGCTGCATCATCGCGGCCATGCGCTTGGCGCTCATGGCGCAGGGCTTCGAGCCCGCGGCCATGGACGCCCTGAGGCAGCTGCCGGCTTCGGATCGCAATGTTCTGGCTGCGGAGCTCGCGAGGACCCAGGGGGGAAGTTCGCCAGGAGGCCTCCCTCCCAGGCTTTTAGTCTTGTGACGCTGAGCAAACGGTGAGGTGACGCCTGTATATACATATATATATATATATATGTATGTATATATATACTACCGAGATGTGTATACACACATACATACATAGATATACACACCGCACTGGTCCTGGCCTGGTCGATCTATGGCCCAGGATGAACCAGCCCAGGGGCTGGTCTTCCGCAGCGGGGCCGCACCTCTTGCAGGCCGTGGCGGGGCTGGGGGAGGAGCTGCTCCACCGCCAGGATCTGTCCATGTCCACTGGCTCGCCGAGTCGGTGGATGCGGATGCTGGAGCAGATGGGGGGTCGCAGCGCCTCTCCGCATCGCCGATGCATTGGCGATGCAGGTCGATGCGGAGCCCGATGTTTGCCACGTCGGCGGCGCCGACACATCGCCAGCGTCGCCATACGGCATCACCGATGCATCGGCGTTGAATCGGCAAGGCGGCTCGATCGTCCGACCCCATCGCTTCGGATCCCATTCAAGAGGCCTCCAGAGATAGATTTGCGCCTATCTTGGACAACTCTTGAGTCCCTCCTGGGGCGTCTTTGGGGCCTTGGTGGGGCACTGCTGGGTCCTCTTGGGGCTCTCTTGGGGGGCCCTTAGGCCGTCTTGGGCCGATAGGACCAAGGGTTAATCTGAATCGTGAATGTGAGCTCTTAGCCGTGAGGAAAGTCAAGTTAGTCTAGTACCATAGCGTAGTGTTGAAGACACCTGGGTGTGATGCTACGCTACCGTCAGCGTAGTGTCGTAGCGCAGTGTTGGGGACACCTGGGCGCGACACTACGCTATGACTGCACGCTACGGTTAGCGTAGTGTCATAACGTAGTGTTGGGGGCACCCGGGCGTGCCACTACGCTATGACAGCACGCTACGATAAGCGTGGTGTCGTAGCGTAGTGTTGGGGGCACCCGGGCGTGCCACTACGCTATGACTGCACGCTACGGTTAGCGTGGTGTCATACCGCAGTGTCGGGGGCACCCAGGCGTGCCACTACGCTATGACACTACGTTACGGTGCGCGCTCGCCGCTCGCCGGGGCGCGCTGCCGTGCCTCCTCGGTTCTCCTCCTCCCCTCCTCCTCTGCCTCTCCCGGCTTCTCTGCGCTCTGTTGTCACCCGTTCTTGCCGTTGGGCTCCTTCTGGATGCTCAAAAAAAGGAAAAAGTGTCACTACGCTATGGCAGCACGCTGCGGTTAGCGTGGTGTCATAGCGTAGTGTTGGGGGCACTTGGGCGTGACACTACGCTATGAGACTGCGCTATGGTTGAAGCGAGTGAGGAGGACTCGTGTTTTTTGTTCGTTTGCTTTCCCTTAGGGTTTTGCTAGACTTTGCTCCCTGAGAGATGGCACTACGCTACCGTCAGCGTAGTGTCATAGCGTAGTGTTGGGGACACTTGGGCGTGACACTGCGCTATGACATTTACGCTACGGTGGAGGCGGTGGAGAAGGAATTGTTGTTTTCCGTGGGCTTTCCTGAGGGTTTTGCTTCACTCTGCTCCGTGAGAGAGGACACTACGATACCGTCTGCGTAGTGTCTTAGCGTAGTGTTGGGGGCACCTGGGCGTGACACTACGCTATGACACTACGCTACGGCTGAGGCGGGTGAGAAGGAGTCGTTTTTGTTCTCGTTTGTTTGTCCTTGGGGTTTGGCTGGATTCTGCTCTGTGAAGAGGGCACGTCGCTACAGTTTGCGTAGTGTAGCGTAGTGTTGGGGACACCTGGGCGTGACACTACGCTATGACACTACGCTACGGTTGAGCAGGGGGAGACAAATTAGCTTGTTTGTTCGCGTGTTTGTCCTTAGGGTTTTGTTGGATTCTGTTCCGTGAGAGAGGACACTACGCTACCATTAGCGTAGTGTCGTAGCGCAGTGTTGGGGACACCTGGGCGTGACACTACGCTATGACACTACGCTACGTTTAAGCGGAGGGAGAAGAAATAGCTTGTTTGTTCGTTGGCTTTTCCTTAGGTCTTTGCTTGACTCTGCTCTGTGAGAGAGGACACTTCGCTACCGTTAGCGTACTGTCATAGCGTAGTGTTGGGGACACTTGGGCGTGAGACTACGCTATGACATTTACGCTACGGTTGCGGCGGGGGGAGAAGGAGTCGCTTTGTTTCGTTTGTTTTCCTGCGGGTGTTACTTCACTCTGCTCCGTGAGAGAGGACACTACGATACTGGTAGCGTAATGCCATAGCCCAGTGTTGGGGGCTTGGGCGTGACATTCTGCTAAGACATTGCGCAGCGGTTGAGGCGCAGAGGACAGGAAGAGTTAGTGTGTTGTTGTTTGGCTTTGCTTTTCCCTAGGGTTTTACCTCGCTGGACTTTGCTCCGTGACACAGTTGTTTTCGCTGCGGTTAGCGTAGTACCATCGCGTAGTGTTGGAGACATTTGGGTGTGACATTACGCTATGCCACCTCGCTACTGTTAGCGTAGTGTCATAGCGTAGTGTTGGGGACACTTGGCCGTGACACTTCGCTGTGATACTGCGCTACGGTTAGCGTGGTGTCATGGAGTAGTGTTGGGGAAACCTGGGCGTGACACTACGCTACGACACTGCGCTACGGTTAGCGTGAAATTAGCGCAGTATCATGGCGTAGTGTCAAATTTCACGGACAAGATCTACTCTCGGTAGGGCCTCTTGAGCTGTCTTTGGGCTTTGGAAGCCCGAGAGGACGAGAACGTTACAGTCATTCCATGTTCAAGACCTGCTCAGGAGAACCTCTGCAGTTTGCCTTCTCTCTGGGCCCTGGGGGGAGAGGGAGAGAGAGAGAGAGAGAAAACAAAAAAGAGAGAACATGAGATGCACATACACACCCCGAATATGACAGGAATATGTTCAGTCGATGCGAGTTCTAGCGCCGAGCACGGCTCCGCTGCCTTTTCGTTGGGTGGGAAGCACACATCAGGAGGACACTAGCCGAGCCGCTCTTCGCGTACGCCCGGTTGCAGTGCAGCGCACTTGTGCGCGTGCCAAGCGGGTGGCCATTTTCTCCCTTTCCTCCCCGCGTCTTCCCTTTGCGTGCATGCTCAGATAGGTCGATTATTGGACTGGGCATATATATATGTATAAAAGAAGTATAGATCGACAGAGAGAGAGAGAGAGAGTAAAACAAATAGAAAGAAAAGAGAAAACCAACAAAACTAGAAAGAGACGGAAGGGAGAAGGAGAGAGAGAGAGAGAGAAAGAGAGAGAGAGAGAGAGAGTAGAGAAAGAACAAGCAAAAGAAACCGAGCCCAGAGGACGGGGCTGCGCCAGCAGTTCGCGGGCGCCCCCGCGGAGGTGCGCAGCCAGCCGCGGGGGCCGGCGCTGCTCATCTACTACGCCCCCGGCCTGATCCAGAAGGCGCCCTTCCTTCCCCCAGCGTAGCCATGGGGGAAACAGGTCCTGACGGAGACAGAGGAGGAGGGGGAGGAGGGGGAGGAGGAGGAGGAGGAGGACGAAGAGGAGGAGGAGGTGAGGAGGAGCAGGAGGAGGAGGAGGAGGAGGAGGAGGAGGAGGAGGAGGAGGAGGAGGAGAGGGAGGAGGAGGAAGAGAAAGAGAAACAGGAGGAGGAGTAGGAGGAGGAGTCCTCAGGTGTTTCGCCGTTTTTTCGGGCTCTCTCCACGGGCCCCGGGACTGGCAGGAAGTTGCTCGAGAGGAAGATCTGTTTCTGGGGGACAGCCCCAGGGTCCAGGATTACGTGGGGCCTGTCCCTCTACAGGAGGAGTATTCACAAATAATAAAAACACAGTCTGGGGACGATTTCTTGAGTGTTGTTTGTGCACGTGTTGATTATTTTGTGGGTATTTTTTGTTTTTCGTCCAAAATTCGCCTGTAGGAGGACATGCCCGACCGAAGTCCAGGACCCGTTCCCCTCAGGTCCCGCTTCCTCCGTGCTGACAAAGAGGTGGTGCCCACGCCGCGCAGTGAGCCAGCGGGCGTTCGGGGTTGCCGTGCCTCGCGCCTCGCCGGGAGCATTCCCGGGGTGCCCGGATCGTCCCGAATCTGCGGGGCACACTGGTTCTTGCCCAGGTGCAAGATGGTCGGAGGAGGGTCGAGTTGGCGAGTTGGTCTCACGATTTTGGGACTCAGGCCGTTTTCCGAGGACGTCTCTGGCGACTGGGACCTCCAAGATCCCAAAACCGTTCGGAGACGGACCGCGCGGTGAGATCTTTTGGGGGATTCCGAAGTCACCACGCGGTCCGTCCCCGCACGGTTTTGGACCTCCGATCTGTCGGGGGGGCTCCCACATCGGTTGGTAGCCGCGCCGTGCGGGGATCGAACAACTAATAGTTAGGTTTTTCTCGGAAGCCCGCGCAGATTTCCCTACTGTGCCGAGGGCGGAAGGGGTTCCAGTCCAACTCCAAGGAATCCGTGCGGGCCTCGGGAATTGTACGGCAGGTTCGCGCCGTGTCGACGGGCGACGACCCCGCCGCCAGCGTTCAACGCTGAACGCTGCCGGCGGCCCAGAATCGGTCGATGTTGAACGACCCTGAAGTTTCGGGAACGGCCGATCGTTCAAGGCTGAACGATCCCCGCGGTGTCGGGAACCAACCCAGGGGTCGACACGACGCGGATTTGCCGTATATGTTTGTGTGGGTGGTTCTTCTTCAGCCTCAGGCTTTCGGGGCGCCCCCTGGCTCCAAGGACAGTCGATACCGATTCACGGGGAGGCGGGGAGGAGCGGGGTCCAGGATAAAGTCGGGCCTGTCCCTCTACAGGAGGAATATTCAAAAATAGTAAAACAAATTGTATGGGGACGAATTACTGATTATTTGTCGACCATGTTTGAATATCCGTAAGGTCTTCGCCCCATGCCGCCGGCCCCCTGTCTCGGATAATGGGAGATGCAGAGCTAAATCATGAGGTCTGGGCGCCGCCGTGAAGCAGTGTCAGGACCTGTTTGTTTTTCGACCCTGATCCTACGGATCTGCGTGAGGGGTGGCACCGAATGTCAGAAATGTGGCAAATCCCATATGTTTTTGCACCTTGACCCCGCCGATCTGCATGAGAGGTGCAGCCGAATGTCAGAAATGTGCCGAATCCCATATGTTTTTGGACCCTGACCCCGCCGATCTGCGTGAGGGGTGCCACCGAATGTCAGAAATGTTGCAAATCCAATGTGTTTTTGGTCCCTGACCCCGCCGATCTGCGTGAGGGGTGCCGCCGAATTTCAAACATGTGGCAAATCCTTTGTGTTATTGCACCCTGAACCCGCCGATCTGCGTGAGTGGTGTCAATTTCTACCCCCCCAGAAGTTCTGAGAACCCTCCCAGGGCGTTGTAGAAATGCCCGTTTTGGGCCTCCCCCCATCGCGCGGTCCATCAACAAGGAATAGCCAGCAGCAATAAGCAGAACTGTAACAAGGAACAGTAAGCAGCAAGAAGCAGAACTGTAACAGTGGAAACTGGAAGCTGCACCTGGTACAGGAACCTGCGAACCTTAGGCCTACAGCCTGGTGGCCCCACAACGGGGACGGCGGATTTTTGGGGTACTTTTTATGTTTCGTCCATCCGCCTGTAGGGGACATGCCCGACCTAAGTCCAGGACCCATATCCCTCCATACTTTTTTCCTCATGACAAACCGCCCCCGTCGCCCACAGCTAGAGTGTTGGAGCTAGGACCACTTGGGATGAAGCGTTCCAGAGCGTTTTCTGGAGCGCTCTGAGCGCGATCCAGGGCGTTCTGGAAGGCCCGCGTCGCCCGATGCATGCTGCGGAATCGCAGGGCTATATACTTTCTCTATGGAACTTGGCTTCGTACTAGTTCGAGTTTCCTACTCCCTCCCCTGGCCTCGCTGTGGCACGTGGCGCTCCCCGTGTGTCCGGGCGCAGACAGGGCCCCAAGAAGGGATTCGCGTCCTGCGTCCAGGTTTTCTCGTGGCAGGCGCTTCGGCTTTGCTTCGACAGCCTCAGCGCGTCGCGCAGTCAAGACGCGGAGATGGGGAGCAGCTCGGGCTCGACGGGAGGTTCTCGCGCGGCTGCAGACAAGCATGCGAGGCCCACTGGGGCCCGCATTCCCGCGCCCCTCTCCTGGCGTGCGCGGTGCGCGCCCTGCTGAGGGTCAGGGGGTCCTTCCACGCTTGCGGCAGCGCGGTCCTCCAGTTCGCCAGATCTCAGGGTGGACGACGCTTTTTTGGCGGGCTCGTGCTTTGACTGTCCAGTTTCTGGAGATGTTTGCAGCTGGAGCCCGCGTCAGATTCCGTAGTGGGGCACGGCCCCGTCAAGCCATCCTGAGTTCCCTGAGCACGAGTCTTACGTCTCCACCGCGGACGCGACGCCGAGAGGGTCCACCCAGGGCTCGAGCTAAACGGTGTTCTGGCGATCTCCTGGGCCGCTTTCGTCCTGACCTCGCCCCTCGCGGCAGTAGTGGAGGAGCGAAGGCAGGACGGAGGAGCACGAGGACAGCAGCGAGAACGAACGACACTGCTCAGCTCGAGCCCTTGGCCCACCCCCTGCGCTCCCAACGCGCAGGCGGGGGCGCCCCACGTGGGCGAGGCGCTGCAGATCCTGGCGGCACTGTGCCGCGCGGCGCGCCGGCTCTTCCCGTTGGATGCCGCCCCGCACCTGGTGGAGAGGAGCGCGCCGGGCGGGCTGGAGGAGGAGGAGCCGGAGGGGGAGGAATTGGAGGAGGAGTAGTGGAGGAGAGGAGGAGTAGTGGAGGAGCAGGGGAAGAAGGAGGAGGAGGAGGAGGAGGAGGAGGAGGAAGGGGGAGGAGGAGGAGGAGGATGATGATGATGATGATGATGATGATGATGATGATGATGATGATGATGATGATGCTGATGATGATGATGATGACGATGACGATGACGATGATGATGATGATGATGCTGATGATGATGATGATGATGATGATGATGATGATGATGGCGATGATGATGATGATGATGATGATGATGATGATGATTGATGATGATGATGATGATGATGATGTTGATCATGATGATCATGATCATGATGATGATGATGATCATGATGATGATGATGATGAGATGATGATGATGATGATGTGATGATGGATGTGGATGATGATGATGATGATGATGCTGAGGATGATTGATGGCGATGATGAGGATGATGATGATGAGATATGATGATGTGATGATGATGATGATGATGCTGATGATGATGATGATGATGATGATGATGAGATGATGAGATGATGATGATGATGGTGGTGGTGGGTGGTGGTGGTGATGTGATGTGAGGCTGATGCTGATGCTGATGCTGCTGATGCTGATGCTGATGTGCTGCTGATGCTGATGCTGATGCTGATGCTGAGGAGGAGGAGGAGGAGGAGGAGGAGGAGGAGGAGAGAGGAAGAGGAAGAGGAAGAGGAAGAGGAAGAGGAAGAGGAAGAGAAGGGGAAGGGGAAGAGGAAGAGGAGGAGGAGGAGGAGGAGGAGGAGGAGGAGGAGGAGGAGGAGGAGGAGGAGGAGAGAGCGCAGGAGCTTGCACGGGCTTGTTGGTGCTGCAGCCGGACCGAGGCAGCACCAGATCGAGGTCGCTTCGGGGAGGGTATGTTCGGTGGTTTTCGGAGTTTCCTGCCAGCTCTCCGCGCTCGGGGTGCGGGGCGCGTTCCAGCGGCTGCGCCTCGCCAGGAGCGTGCTGGGGGGGCCCGCACCGTCCCGAACGGCCACGGGAGAGCCGAGTTATGACCCCCAAACCGAATTCGGACCGAGGTATAAGTGATGGGCCAATTCTCCACCACCACTACCACAGGCAGGACGGAGGAGAAGGGAGGATTAGGAGGTCCTCCTCTTTTTCATCCTCCTCCTGCCCCTCCTCCTCCTCCTCCGCCTCCTGGTCCTCCTCCTCCTCCTCCTCCCTCCTCTACGTTTGGTATTGTCGGTGGAGCATCGGCCCATCAATAAGAGCGAGGTCGGTTCGGGGAAGGTACCCCAGTGATCTTCGTCTTTGTTGGATGTTATTGTGCATCCTGGGGAGGGTGCCCTTGGATGTTCTGCTTGTCTTGGCCGACGGAGGGTCTCATGTTCTCGAGGGGTGTTCTTCTGGCCCAGTTTCGCCGCCAGGACGCGTCAGAGTGACCTTTCGCCGGACTGACCTTTGGTGCGGGCACAGAGGGGTCCCACCAGCACTTGCTGGTGCGCCCGGATTGCCTGGATTTGGTCTCCCCCACGGCCCCCTGCAGGCGTTCACCAAGGGTCACTTTGGCCTAGGGTCACTGCTGCGTGTAGGCGAGCGGGGTCACTGCTGCGTGTTTGGCGCTGGCTTTTCCGGAAATCCCAGCGTCGCTTGCTTGTTCGAGCCGGGCGTTGTCGCCCACTTTCGGGCCCCAGGTCCAAGGACCCTCACAGATCGATGCCGATCTTGCCATGATGTTTCACGCTGGTGCACTGTTGTTGCTGTGCCGGATCTTAGGGATCGGCCCACCAAGCT